ATAAATATATTTAATAAAAACTTCATTTTAAGTAACATTAGTGATTTTTATAGTAGTGTTTTAAATGTTATTGCCTAATTTTATAAACTAAAATGAGACTAAAAACATTTTTATTTTTAACACAAGCAGGATCGGAGTTAAAACCACCTGTTGAAAAAAAAAAACTCGACAATAGAAATTCTATAAACATATATATTTGAAAATACAATTTTAGTAAAAACTTTGTTTTATGAAACATAACTTTATGTTATAGCAGCTTTTCATAAAATGATTTATTTTAGTATTAAGTATTCAGTATATATTTTAAAAATATTTTGAAAAAATGGTTACGATACTAGGAAAAATTTTTTTGATGTTACCAAACTTTTAAAAAAAGTTGTTCAAATTGAATGAAAAAGTTTTTCAAATTGAATGAAAACCTATCTGCGAGGAAATATTTTAAAACTATTAACATTAGTAGTTAGTTAAAAACACTTCTTTGCAAGTTTCCATTTTAAAAAATGGTTTTTGTTTAAAATTATTATTTTAAATAAGATTACAAAATCATTAATTTTTAAGCGTTAACTTATTTGTAAAATTTCTTTTTTTAAGTTTTTATAAAGTTCAGAGAGAACTAATACTAAGATAAAAAAAAATTGAAAAAAGAAAATATTAAAATTTTTGACCGTTCAAAAAAATTAGTTGACCATCAATATGTATATATGTATATATATATATATATATATATATATATATATATATATATATATATATATATATATATATATATATATATATATATATATATATATACATACTATATATATATATATATATATACATACTCAAATAAAGCGAAATTTTATAAAAATTTTAAAAATAATAATTTTTTCATATAAAAATTATTTTTTTAGATTTTATAGCACAATAACTATAGTTTTTTAACTAAAAGTAAAAAAGGTGCATTTTTACATGTTTTTCAATAACAATTTTTTTAACAATATGATTTTTATAAAACAATTATTATTTTCGAATTTTTTATAAAATTTCGCTTCTTTTGAGTACCAGGTTAACCTACTTTTGAAAAACTTTTTTTCTCCAAATATTAGTGTACCGGTAATATTTCCAATAAAGTTGTGCCATTTAAATCTATCTCAATCATTCTCATATTTGATAGTATCAATATTAATAACTATTAGCAATGTTTAGAGCCTGTAACAAGAAAAATATTGCCATATATATATATATATATATATATATATATATATATATATATATATATATATATATATATATATATATATATATATATATATATATATATATATATATTATTTTTGAACATGTTATCTCCATATATGAATTTATGGAGATAACATGTTCAAATTGTTGTTGCTTTTATACTTTATAAAATACTCCCTTTGTTCCAAAATACTGTTCCAATTTGCATACTTGTAAAAAATTAGTGAACAAAATTATGTTTATAAAAAAAAAATTTATATAAAATTTAGATGTTTTTCTATAATATTATGAACAATTCCTGGCAATAATATATTTTTTTACCACCACACCATTAATTTTTAAATAGGATGTTTTTTTTTATGAAATATTTTGTTTTGAAATACTGTTCTGATTTGTTAAAAATGAAATATAAACTTCAAAATTTGGTAACATTGTAACATTTTTAGTGGAAAAAAATTATATATATATATATATATATATATATATATATATATATATATATATATATATATATATATATATATATATATATATATATATATATATATATATATATATATATATATATATATATATATATATATATATATATGATCTTTTGAATGATTCTTATTTTATATTAAATAATTTAATAATGATTAAAACCATTTACCATAGATTGACTTTAATTGCTAGCACTCTTATTACATTTTTAAGGTTATTGTTTTAGTAGTATTTACCTCAATAACAATAAACTTAGAAACAGACAACATTTAGGTTTAAAAAGATTTCAAATATGTTTTGAATATTTTAAAATGAATAAAAGAGATACGTGTGAACTTACAAACAAGCAAGGTAGAGTGGTTTACAATGAGCAAACGAAAAACTAAAAAAAGACTTACTTTTAAATACTGTTGAAAAAATCAAGGTGTGCACTGATACAATCAATAAACTTTAGCATTGTGGACAAGAAATCTTACTTTTTTTTTTGTCAAACTAAGTGTTCTAAGAACACTTACACCAATAAATAATCTGGATTTTATAATCTTATTATATATAAGCATGTGTAGACAAAGAGATATACAAAAATAAGATAAATATCCGAGATTTGGGTTATTGTGGTATATAACTACGAAATTGTTTGTATATGCAATTAACGGGGATCATCCATAAGGCATGTCATACTTGGCAATTCTTAAGCCCTTCTCTCCTGTCACAAATAATCACATATACCTGAACCCCGTCTCCCTTCTAAACTGTGATACCACTTTTTACGTCTAAAATATTTTGTAAGATTTAA